TTAGGGGTGGGGGCACTTCCAGATTGGAGAAGGAAGCGTCTCCTTTTCCTAATGGGTGGCATTGTGGTGTCATGTTTTATGCATACGTGAAATGCATTAGTGTTTCATTTTGTGTGCACACACGTGTGCATGCGTGTGTAGAGGTCAGAGACGGGCTTTTTTCATTACTCCTGTCGTTACGTCTTTCAGACAATGTTGCTCACTGCACCTAGAGCTCATCGATTCAGCTAGGCTGCTTGTCCAGCAAACCCTGTCTCCTCCTTCTCCATGCTGGCATTATATGCCATGGCCTCCAGCGTCTCACGTGGGTGCTGGGAAAGCTGGGTGTTAGGACGGCCATAAGTACCTCTCTGTAGAAGTTAAGATCCGTGTGTCCTTCCCAGTATGTCACCATGCTTCCTTAAGAAAGTCATTCATGCATACATTGTACATTGTAACCCTGTTGGACAGGCGTTGATTCCCTACTGCTGATTTCAGCGGACAGCAGCAGCTGCTGACTACCCCATAAAGACCTCTGGAGAGTGAGGTTCTGAGCCGTGACTCCGGCGTTGCCATGGAGGGATGCTGAATTTGCGAATGAGACTGATGAAGGGCGAATTATGGGTTCGGAGAGCCTCTGTTTATTAGTCATCTGGTGTTCTGATTTAGCTTAGGGTGTAGAAAGCTGTAAGCAAACACGGCCAGCAACAGCAAAGAGCCAGGTAATCTGAAAGGAGGTGGTGTTCCTTGAGCCAGTTAAATGGAGCAAGGCAACTGCCTAGTGTGAGAATCTCACGGCACGGTGATGTCACCATCATGGTGAATACCGAAGATCACACCTGAGTATGGGCTGTGCACCAGCGTGGAGTCTCAGAGTTCCTAGTGTAGGGAGTCCCCATTTGCCTCCAGATCTTGTCTGTAGCTCTGTCTCCACTGGCCCTGACTGTGGGACAAGGGGCAGGGAAAGAGTGCCCCCCTTTCCCCGTGGAAGAGAGGCGAGGACTTCCATCCGGCTCCCAAGTATTCTCTCATATGATGCAAAGCCAGAATCTCTTGGGTGACGGGAGAAGGACCCTACTTGGAGGTTGTAAATATTAAAGGCAGCCGCTCTGTGTGAGATCAGGGAGACCTTCCTGTTGCGTCTGTGGACCCTGTATTGAGGAAAAGGTAACAGCCATTGCTCAACTACAGACTGGAGGAGAGGTAGAAGCTGAGTACCACCTACTGCTTAGACAGTCAGGAGACGTGGCGTGCATGTCCTGAGCTGAAAGGGGAGAGGCAGGGGGCACTCTTTCCCTGCCCCTTGTCCCACAGTCAGGGCCAGTGGAGACAGAGCTACAGACAAGATCTGGCTACCCTAGGCGGAGCCGGGAGCCCTTGTTGCCCAAACCTTCTCCACAAAGGCTAACTGTGCCTGCCCTGGTGTCCCAGGTCTTCAGAACCTCCTCCATTAGGAAAGATGGACAGGGGAACCAGGAAGCCACCCAGAAAAACACCACCATCATGCTCCTCATCAGGTGACAGAATATGCAGGCCCTCAAAAAAGCTGCAGTGACATTGGAAATCCCACACCAAGAACAGGAGACCTGAGGTGTTCCTGGGAGGATCTGACAATGTGCCCAGGGAAGGGCATCTGGGACAATCTAGTGAGACTAAGACATTTGGCAAGGTTGCTGGATGTAAGGTAAATATAGGAAAGTCGGTCATGTTTATAAAGATAACAAAAATCTGAACTTAAAATAATGTGTAATAACACCCAATGATACTAAAACAGTAAGTATACAATATGTACAAGTTTTGTTGACTGAAAACCAAAAAACTCTGTTGAGGGATAAAATAATTCTTCCTAAAGAAGACTCACAGACTGACTAATGGCTCAGAGGGCCAAGGCATTTGCTTTACTATCTGAATCTGATCCTCGGATCAAACGGTAGAAAGAAAACATTCCTGTAAGTGGTCTCCTGATTCCTGCATGTATGCCATTGTGTACACACACACACACACACACACACACACACACACACACACACACACACACGAAAATAAATCAAGGCAATAAAAACTTGGAGCCTGAAACACGGAGTCTCCCAGAAGAAAACGTAGGGACTGCCCTCCAACATAGATGTGTGAGGAAGGACTTTCCGAATTGGACTCCACTCAGGGGTTAAGGACAATAGTTGACAAACGGAACCTCAAATAACTAAACAGCTTTTGGGCAGCCAAGAAAACAGTCAACTGAGTGAAAACAGATGCCTACAGCATGGGAGAGAATCTTTGCCTGCTGTCCGTCTGACAGGAGATTACTATTCAGAATCTATAAAGAACTTAAAAAAAAAGTCAAGGGAATGGAACGACCCCATTAAAGAATGGGCTGTGGATCTGGACAGAGGGGAAAAAAAAGACAAGGGGTTAAGAAATGCCTCAGAAAGTGGTGAACCTCGAGCTGGGCGGTGGTGGCGCATGCCTTTAATCCCAGCACTCGGGAGGCAGAGGCAGGTGGATCGCTGTGAGTTTGAGGCCAGGCTGGACCGACAGCTTCCAAAACAATACAGAGAAACCCTGTCTTGTAAAAACCAAAAAAAAAAAAAAAAGAAAAAAAAGAAAAGAAAAGGAAGTGGTGAACCTCTTCAGCAATGCTTCAGGAAGATGCTCGGGAGGAGAGATGATCGACCAAACAGCTGACGGTCAATGCCAGTGAGGTTGTGGGGGGCCGGGGAGGAAAGCCCTCATTCATGGTTGGGATGAAAAGCTGCTGTAGGCACTCTGGAATTCTTTGCTTTTCAAGTTCTCAAGTCAGGGTTCAGAAAACTCACAGGTGTGGGCACTGTCTTTCCGAAGAGATCCTATGTGCCACGAGTCAAGACTGCAGCGTGTCTTCTCAGCGTGTCTTCTCAGGGACGTGTCAGGGTGACTTCTTGATGTCATATGGAAGTGGGAAGAAGGGCTTAGCATAGCCACAGCTTTGTAAAGCAAGAACGCAGTGGGCAAACTCATACTGAGCGTGTTGAGGTCGTTCGTAGAGATTTAGTAATTAGGACGGTTTGCTGTTGGCATGAAAAATAAACACATCAGCTAATGGAATGGACAAGAAGAGACCCCTGACTTTGCGGCCGATTGATTTTACACAGACATCAGGGTGTTCCACTGGGAAAAGGACCATCTTTTCAACAAATGGTGTTTGCGCAACTGCACACTTGTCTTTAAAACGATAGAGGAAGGAGTTTAATTTTACAAGTAGGAAAGGGAGAATTTAAAGCATTCCTATTTGCGGATGTCAAAGAGACCCTGAAGGCCTCAGGAAGCTCCCAGAGCTAACAAACACTTTCAGCGAAGAGGCGGGCTACAGAATTAACATGCTCTGTTGCCTCTCCACGAGCAACAGCAAATAGACTGAGGACGAAATCAGGAAAACAATCCCATCCCCAATACAAAACAAAACAAATCCACACAACCTCCCCAAGCCCACAGCACACTTAGGCCTAACACTGAAGAATTTGAAGAAAACACTAGAAGAGGGAGAGTCTGCCCATGTACACGGATTGGTAGGGTCAATATTGTGAAAATGGCCGTCTATCAAAAATCAATCTACAGATTCAGTGCAGTCTCATACAAATTCCAATGCAATTCTTCACAGAAGTTGAAGAAGTTGAAAAAAATCTTAAAATTCACATGGCAGCACAAAAGACACAAGATAGTCACAGCAGTAAAAACTGTGGTGACGTGTTGCTGTTCTTAGTGTCAAGTTAGTCAGAAACCCAGACAGCACACAGCACCGGCACGAGAACAGGCACATTCATCAGTGGGGATAAGTACACTCATCTACAGCCACCTGATTTCTTTTTTTTTTTTTTTTACAAAAATGCTGAAAGACACACATTAGAGAAAAAAATTCCATAATAAATGGTATTGGAAAAACCGGATATCTCCATATAGAAAAACAAAACTTGATTTTTTTTTTTTTTGGTTTTACGAGACAGGGTTTCTCTGTATTGTTTTGGAGGCTGTCAGCCCAGCCTGGCCTCGAACTCACAGCGATCCGCCTGCCTCTGCCTCCCGAGTGCTGGGATTAAAGGCGTGCGCTTCCACCACCCGGCAAAACTTGATTCTTCTCCCTTCTTCTGCCCCAAATCAATTCCAAATGGATCAAAAGTCTCAATGTTAGATCTGAAACTTCTGAAAGGAAGAGTAAGGAATTCCCTTGAGAATAGCTGCTCACACAAACTCCCTGAGGGGGGGACTCTGATCACCCAGGAAACGGGACCAACCCTCACCAAGTGGAACTTGATGGAGTTAATAAGCTTCTGCAATGCAATGGGACCGGGTAGGTGACTCCAGAGGAGGTCTATACCCTGGGAAAGAAGTTTGCCGGCCATACATGCATCTGACAGAGGATTGATGTCAGGATATACAAGGACCTTAAAACTAAATACCGGCAAAGCAAACAACTCAATTAAAAATTGGGCTATTGAACTGAGCGGAGAGCTCTCAGAAGAAGAAACGCAAACGACTAAGTGCTTTTAAAGCACCCATCTTCACCCATCAAGGAAACACAAACTGAAACTGCTTGGGGATTTTATTGTATTCCAGGCAGAATGGCTAAGATAGAAAAAAGAATGCTGGCCTGGCCCTGGGGGAATGGAGAACACCGCGCACTGCTGGCGGGAGTGCAAACTGGTGTGGCCACCGTGAATATCGGTGTGTCAGCCCCTCAGAACACTAGAAACGGGACTACTGTGTGACACACCCATGCTACTTCTGGCTATATACTCAAAGGACTCTATTTCCTGCCTAGCCATCGTAACTGATGCTCTAGTCACAGTGGCTAGGACACGGGAACGGAGTAGATGCCCATCAACTGATGGATGGATAATGAAAATACGGTATCTATACACAGTGGAATTGGGGGGGCGCTCGGGGGTGGAGAAGTAGCTCTACTTGATTTTTGTTTGCCTTTATAGTTTGTCAGCGAAGGTATTGAACTAAATAATAGGAAAACAATCTTTAAAGTGACAATTTAAAAAGTTGTATGGAAAGGAATGATCAGAGATCTCATGTTTATGTAGGATTGTTACCTTCTGCAGACGAAAGGTATTTTCTTGTTTGTCTACATGGTTGGCTTTGCAGCTTCCATCCACAACAGAATTTTATTCGGCTATACAGAAAGATGCAACTTGTAGGTGAATGGATAGAATCAGAAAGCATGATAACGAGTGATGTAATCCAGACTTAGAAAGACAAATGTTGTATGTTCTCATTCATGTGTGGATCTTTACTATTAAATATTTAGATTTGAATGCTTTACTTTAAGTGCTTGTAGAACCCAGGGGAGTATAAAGGAACCACTGATGGGGAGGGAAAAAGAGATTTTAGCAGATTAAGATAGGAGAACACAGATGATGCTTAGCATCCTTAAAAATTTAAGAAATGCAAGCTAAAAACACAATGAGATTGTATTGCATGGCTCCTGCAGTGACAGAAACTAAAATATTGGTGTGAATTTGTCAAAGTTCATTGATGTGGGGCTAGGAACACAGTTCGGTTTGTGCAGCGTTTGCCTGGGTTGCACAGGGGCCTGCTTTTGGTTCCCAGCACTGCATGAATTCGGCGTGGTGACCCACATCCGTGATTTTACTGATCAAGGTGTAGAGGCGGAGGAACAGGAACTGGAAGTCATCCTTAGCTACATAGCAGGTTGGACGGTGGCCTGTGGGTGTGGATTGTCTTGTAGGCATAGATAAACAAGATCTCAAAAATGACAAACTTGAGGAAGTCAGAGTTTCCAAAGACTCTTAACCTCCCCCCTACCAAGCATCCTGTCTTATGGTTGTGAGGATGAAATGACCCGAGGCCATGCTAGCGGTTGGCAAAAGGCCCTCACATAAAAGATTCATTTGTTCATTATGTAAACAGTGTTCCGCCTGCATGTATGCCTGCAGGCCAGCAGAGGGCACCAGCTTTCATTACAGATGGCTATGAGCCACCATGTGGGTGCTGGGAATTGAACTGAGGTCCTCTGGAAGAACAGCCAGTGCTCTTAACCTCTGAGCCATCTCTCCGGCCCTTATTTGTGTTCTTATGGGAGGAAAAAGTTTGCCAAACCTTAGGCAAATAAAATTACCCTTACATAATACATCAAGCTGTTTTCAACTACATTGACAAGATCTATTTGTAATAAGACACTTTAATATAAGAATTGGAAGTAAAATTTGGTCCTTAAGGTGTTGTGGATAAAGACTTGATTCAACAATTCATGGACACTTAGTTTGTTTCATTGTGTAGGCTTAGAAACCATAAGCCACATTTACAAATTATCTCAGTGATTCACAATTTTTATAAATTCAAACTGTTTCCCTTTGTAGCTCATGCAAATGACATTAGACATCAAAACTTAGCAATTATCAACAAGTTGTCAGCTTTCTGGAGCTCACGGTGTTTGATTCTCACATTGTGAACACCCACACGTCGGCAGCTCTCTTCTCAAGAGATGGATGCAGGAAGAGACTGTATCTCAGAGAGAGCGTGGTTTCTCTCATCATCATGGACCTGACAATAGGGCTTATGCCTCTAGAGATGCCGTGTGTATGTGTTCAGGGGCAGCAAGTAGTGTAGCAGGGAGAAATGTTGCCTGGGGTTTCAAGCCTGGGCCCTGGGCATCTCCAGAATGTGTCCACACTGGATAAGGACCCTGTCCACACTGGATAAGGACCCTGTCCACACTGGATAAGGACCCTGTCCACACTGGATAAGGACTCTGTCCACACTGGGTACGACTCTGGCTCAGGCTCTGGCATGTGTTGCCTCAGATGAATACAGCAATGTAACTGGGGTCCTTTCCCAGCTCTGCCGCAAGCTGTTCTATTCTCCCCAGCATCTCATAACAGCACTATTAAATCACCTCTCTTATAGCCTCTACTGTAACCCGAGACAGTATCAGGACAGAGCTGGAGAGGAAGCTTGGCAGTAGAGTGCGTGTCTTAAAAGGTCCGGATTCCACCACTAGTGCTGGCACGCACACACACACACTCACACACACTCACACACACTCACACTCACACACACTCACATTCACTCACACACACTCACACACACACTCACACACAAGGAAGAGGGGGAGTGGGAGAAGGAGAGGGGGAGATGGTCAGAAGGGAGGGGAAGGGGGTAAGGGGAAGGGGAGAGGGGAGAGAGAAGTTCAGTGGAGAGCTCTATAGGAGTCTGGAAACTACAGCTCATATGGGACCCTGAGGTGGCACCGACTTAATCCAGGGCTCAGTTTTATAAGTTGCAGAAAAGAGAATTTTTATTTTAAATCCTCATTGAAAGCCATTTGCCCACTCAAGTTTTGCAGTAGGTAAATTGCACTTACCTGTGAACAGGAGGGTCGGTCGTAGATCTGTGAGCCAGCCCTGCAGGTCAGCTGAGGAAAAGGCCAGAACTTTCCCAGGTCCATGTGCCTAGAGATGCTTGAGGCCAGAGACGCTGGGTTGCCACACATGCCCTTCTGGAGGGTTGTGTGCAGTAACATGGACGTGTATTTCCACAGAACAAAGAGAAAGCTATAGTGGTTTCAGATTAAAAAAACAAAAACCAAAAACAAAACACTATCCATTGAACTGGGGTTTATTTGGAAGCTGAAGACAAAAATATGGAAAATTTATACTCTATGCTCCTGTTATCCCAGTCACTTAATAAAATTTACACTTTTCCCCCAAGTAGCTTAAAATACCCACTGGCCTAGAAAAGTTGCCAAAAGAGAGCATCTATTTATGCCCAGTGTTTTTAACAACTAATTGGCGCATGTGACTCAAGTCAGTTTTTCCAACAGGCTTCTTCCAGTTTTCTCTCCTTCTCACAATCGTTGGTGTGAAAGGCAGGACCATAGCGGCACAGGGTCCGGCTCTTTCTTGCTGGGGTCACTTCATTTGTACTGTGCTATGAATGTTAGTATCCCCCCTCCCCGGAAACTGGTTTGAAATCCTCATTCCCAAGGAGATGGACAGTGTTACGCTTTAAGGCAGGTTCCAGGCACCAGGATAGGGCCTCATGGGTAGGATTGGTGACCTTCTGGAGGCGACCCTGAGAGATGCCTCTCCTCTCCACCAAGTGGGAACACATTCAGTGTCCCATTTGTGATCTGGAAAGGGACTTTCACCCAACACTAGTCCTGGGAGCATCTTGTGACCTCCAGCCTCCAAAACCATGAGACATAGTGTGTTCATTAAAGGGTTATCTAGTGCTCCAGACCACACCCAAACACCCCGAGGATGTCTTCAGAGATCAAGGACAGGGCCACATCAGAGGAAGCTGGCCTGGCCAGAAGGTTTTCCATTCTTGGCATTATCTAGAAGCGATGGTTTAAATATCTTTGTTTCTGGAGTAGTCTTCCGCTCCCAGATGCAGAGATATGAGAACATTCGATGCTCTTGTTTGCAGGGTTTGTCTCCTTTCTCCCTGTACCCAACTGCCTATGTGTGACTCCAGCCCTGGTTTCTCTATCCACATGAAGATTCCTCACCTTCCCTGCTTTGATTTGTTCAGGTACTTTTGTTTTGTTTTTTGTTTGTTCGAGACAGGGTTTCCCTGTGGCTTTGGAGGCTGTCCTGGAAATAGTTCTTGTAGACCAGGCTAGGCTGGTCTTGAACTCACAGAGATCTGCCTGCCTCTACCTCCCGAGTGCTGGGTTTAAAGGTGTGCACCACCAACACCTGGCTCTTCCGTGCTTTGAGATGGATATTCAAACAGCTGGCTTTTAAACAAAAAGGCTCTTGGCATCTTTGTTTGCGGAGAAGGCACTCTGAGATACTGCTTCAGCGGTAGAAACAGAGGGGTTTTTCTGTCCCACTCAAGGCCATACAGGTGGGAAGGAAGTGCCCCGAGTGGGCTCTGTTCCTGACCAGGGAAGCAGGCATGCCTATCTGGGGTGCCACACTGTGCACCCAACTGTTTGGATCAGTACCCTTGCAAGTGCATGGGCTGGGATCACCATGGCAGCAGGTGAAGCCAGAAGACAGCACATTTAGGCTTTCAGCGGTTTTGATGCGATTTCTTCATATTTGGAAAGGCGTGAATGTATGTGTATGCATGCACACACAAAAGCATTTACAAACGAATAAAAAGATTGAACTCAAGCCACAGTAATATTCATTTAACTTTAAGTGGAAACGACCACAGAGAAGTTCTCTGTTCATGTAACCTGGGGTTCCCAGACTGGATAAGCCACACAGCCTTCAGAGTTGCCACCTGCGGGATGGGCTGTTGTAGGCCTCAGCGGACCTGACTCAGGGGACAGCTGCAGCAGGTCACATGCTAGTTTTTGCTTCATACCACAGTGTTGTCCTTGTCCACACACAGATCCACATACTTTGTTTAATTCTTCATCGGTCTTGGATTACTCGTGTAAGACTGTCTCCTGGATGTGTCCCATAGAGCTGCCCCAGGGTCTTCACAGGGGAAGCTTGGTTTCTCATGTCTCTGGGGCTGGAACTAAGAGGCCACAGCACCCTTGGGCTTGGTTTTCTTTAAAGGGTGATCACCGTTTTCCTGAACCCACAAAGCCAAGGTGTCTTTGCGTTCAGGTTCCTAATCAAGGGTCAGAGTAGCTTAGGGACCACCTTGTGGCCTCACTGCCTATGGTTTATTCATAAAAGACCCTGGCTCAAATACAGCCCTGTTGAGTGGAGGGACTGGGTGTTAGGATTTCAACATGCAGCATTTGTTTTGTTTTGGTTTTGTTTCTGTTTTTGTTTTTTTGTTTTTGGTGGAGGTTAGGGAGACAGAGTTTAATCTTAAGACTGAGGAAAAATGTGAGGTAGATTGGCTTTAACGTTTAAAGCTTCCGTGTGAGATGGACAGGACATAGCTGGGAGAGGCTGGGGGCAGACATGGCACATCAGGAGAACTTCCTGCTTTTGGGAACGGAGGCACTCCTGGTGGCTGAGCATCTCAGACGTAGGGTGGCTGTGTCTGTACCACAGCCAGCACAGCCTTAGACAGCGGAAGAGAGGACAATGGTAGACAAAGACGCAAGAGCCTGGGTTCACTTCGGGAATGACCATTTTTATTTTCCCCACTGCTGTATATTGTCCAGCCATCTACTAAAGATTATCATTACAAGTAGAGCTTGGGCAGGCCACCT